TTCCAATTAAGTAAATACAATTATTTGGATCACATAGATCTAGTATTTTTGTTTCTCGAAACCCATTTTAGGGGTTTATTGAGAAATAGACAATTCAACAAATATAGTTCAAAATCTGTTAAAAACACTTTTTTTAAACTTTCGAAATTAAGTTTTTATATGAAACCTTTTTTATTTACAACTAGCTTGGGAACCAAGCTTTGCCTGAACCAAGCTAAGAACATTTCCGAGATTATACCGAATACCTCAATAAAAATTTGAGGCAAGTCGGTTAATGAATTTATGAGTTTTGATCAAAGGGATCTCCATTAGATTCAAAAGACCAAAAAAAATCTCATTGCGATTCGAAAGACTAAAATGGAACTCCATAAGATCAAAACTAAAAAAAGAGCCTCCATTAGATTCTAAAGATCAAAATAGAACTCCATAAGATCGACAAGCAAAAAGCATTAGATTCTAAAGATCAAAATGGATCTCCATGTGATGCGTAAGATCACAGATTTCGAATATTCTCTGAGTTTGTCCTTGTGAATAAGGAAGGAGGATACAATCAGAATTTAACCCAGTGTGTGGTGGACCAGGGATATTTACTGTTTAACATTCATCTTCTCTAATCTTAAACAATCAGTAAATTAACAAACAAACAGAACAATCAGACAATCAAACAATTCCACACTAGTATCTGTGATGCAGTGCCGGGTAGTTCACAAATTTTAATTGACAATTTTAAAAGAAAAGTAAATTCTTAAAAAAATGTATAATTAAAATAAAAGAGATCATTGCTAGAAAACATTCGAAAAAATAAGAAGAAAAAAAGTTGTTGCCAAAATTAAAGTTACTACTAAGAGAAAAGATATTATTAAAAAAGATTTCTAAAAAAAAACACTACTCAAAATAAATATATTACTAAAAGAAATTATACTTCTTAACGTAAATATATTACTTAAAGAAAATATACTGCTAAAAGAAAAGAACCTTAAAAAAGAAAAGATACTAGTAAAAAACGATATTACTAAAAATATTACTTTTAAAATAAAAAGTTATATCTGAGAGAAAAAATTTACTAAAAGAAAAGATACTTCTGAAAGAAATGATACTACTAAAAGAAAAGATATTATTAAAAAAAGATATCACTTAAAATATTGCTATTAAAATGAAAATATATGAGTAACTAAAAGACAAGATACTTCTAAAAGAAAAGATATTACTAAAAGAAAAGATACTATACTGAAAGAAAAGATTTTCCTAAAAGAAAATATACTTCTAAACGAAAAGATAATACTAACCACAATATTATTAAAATGAATAGATACTACTGAAAGCAAAGAAACTACTAAAAGAAATTATACTTCTAACAAAAAAATATCACTATACGAAGAGAGCTATAATATAAAGAAAAAGATATTAACTAAAGCAAACATACTGCATATAAAAAAACAGATAGTTATGCAAGTTATATCTGTAAAAAAATAACTGTTTTTCATGTGGATAAACTTAGTCTTCTTTGCCCTGTAATTCATAAACATGATTCTAATAATATATGTTACCCTCTGTTACAACCCTTCCGCTGAGTACCCACCCTTTCCCTTATACTTTTTTACCCCCTCCTTACCTTATTCATGATTTATCATTATTGTTTTATTTAAAATGTACACTGTAAAGTGTACACCCATCTATTTATTTACAATTCTTATTCGCTTAAAATGGGCCAATCAATAAAACAACCAACTCTGGTTAGGCGGGTCCAAACTACATAGTAAATTGTTATTTTTATTTGTATTATCTCGTGCTTTGTAGTTGACTAAAAATATGAATATGAACAGATTAATAACAAACACACAGAAGAAACATATGATCACACAATTCCACACTAAGGAGTGGTGACTGGTTAACAGAATTAAAGCTGTTAAATCGTACAGAGGACAATAAATTAGAATACCAGTGCAATATTTTGTATGTATGTGCTTCATCAAACTAATTTATAAATGAGATAACTTTTTAAATTAAAGAAAAAATTCTACATTTACAGGTAAGATTCTACATTTACAGATAAGATTCTACATTTACAGATAAGATTCTACATTTACAGATAAGAAATGAATTATTAAAGTTAAAAAAACATTTACTGATTTCGCATTTACAAATAAAAAAGCAATATTTCCAAATAAGATTCTACATTTACAGATATAATGCAAAAATTACAGATAAGATTCTACATTTACAGATATAATGCAAAATTTACAGATAAGATTCTACATTTACAGATATAATGCAATATTTAGAGATACTATACTTACACTACATCTACAGATAAGGAACTACATTTAGAGATAAGATACTACATTTAAAGATAAGATACTACATTTATAGATAAGATTCTACATTAACAAATAAGATTTTACATTTACAGATTAGATGATATAAGATACTATGTACAATGTACATTTACAAATATAATAATACTTAGGAGTTTACACATAATGTGATATTCTTACAAAATTATCTTAATCTCTGAAAATTCTAATAGCACAGAAAGGCAGACTTCATTTTGGCAATACCAGGACTAGGAGTATTTTGCTTAATCAATTTAAGCATTCTACTTTTAAAATTAGGTTGATTAATAAATGTTGCAAATTATTTTGTCAATTAAAAACGATCTTTTCAAGTGATCTTTCAACTGTCATGTTTCGTGGGACACTCTGTATAGTGTATAATCTTGAAAAATTATAATTTTATGTTAAACCAGAATTTTCAGGAAGAATAAAAAGATAAATATCCCTGTACAACGGATAAGACACAACTCCGAAGTTACATGGAATTATTAAGGGTTGTATCAATAGGATGAGAGGAAGCCACTAATGAACACAAAGAATACAATGATTTTTCTTGTGGGGAATAAAAACCGCGGGTTCAGGTATACACCACAATCATAAATTCATACAATACACTTCAAACTAAAGAGACGGAGATAATACAATTTATATGAAATCACGTTTCTGACCTCGTCTTTGATTTTGGGACAAGTGAGAGAAAATCAAATTTATTTGGTTATTACATTGAATAGGTTCTATTTAATAGCTCTTCAATTTCATGAGTTATGTTTGAAAACATTTCAAGATTTCAATTTTACCGCCAAATTTACTTTAGTTTAACGTGAATGCAAGTACAAGGGCTTCTAAGTACTTTATTCACAAACAAAATAATTGATAACAGTGTGTGAGGCTTTCTTGAAATACAAATCTGTCATTATAAGTAATTTTANTGATACCTGAAAAGCGTAAGATATACAAGTTACAACAATCTATACATCTATACAACAATCGAAAATCAAAAACGATATTAAAGTCGTTTCTTAATTCTTATGTTTACACTGGGATACCCTGTATATAAATATATCTTTTTTATACACCAGGGTTCAAGTTCATGTAAAGTATGGAATAATACCTCCCCTCCCCCCCGCTCCTGAATACCCTGCCATTAATATCAATTTTGCATCATGCATTACCACTCATAGAGCACAGAAAGAGATTGTAATTTATAGTAAATCGCATTTTTAAGACATTACATTTTGACATTTGTATTTATACTAGATCGTCACTGCAAGGCCATTTCAGCACTAGCAGTGATTCGAGTAAGTGACAGTAAACCAAAAAATAAGAAAGGCCTGGATCATTTCAAGATAAAACAGCTCTTAAGGGACTTAAAGTACAATTTCACCCTCTTTGCAAAAATAGCAATTACCAATATTTACAAGGGTACCCGGGAAACCTTAATCTGATCAAAAATGTAGAAAATAACATTTTTTTATGGGAATTTTCAGTGTTTCTAACAAAGCAAGATATCGATAAAAATATTTATTTTTAATCTGAGTCCATAGCAGCAATTTTAAATCAAATTGTAGAGAAACTTAACACGATCGACACTAGCTAAAATGTTCTTATCAACATGATCTAAGCAGGATACCTTTGATATTTAAAACATAAAATATTAAGGGTTTATCAGGTTGCAATGATATAAAGATTAGAAAATTAGGGTGTGTTTATTAAAATATTTGTAAACAATTGTCAAGTTACAGGGATACCCAATAATCTGGGTTTAAAGGATACCGTTATAAATCAGGTATGTCACTTGAACTTACGTCTACAATCCCTTTTATTGGTAAAAAAAACATTATCATATTTCTAGCCTGACGAGTGTTAAATTTTATTAATGCATCTAATATGTTTCTGCAGTAGAAATGCGCTCGTCAATTTTGAAGAGAACCCAAAATTGAAAATAAAATTAGTTTTCTAAATGAAAAACCTTGATATTTATTTCATCCTTGATCAGACAAAGCTTTTTAGGGCACCATTGTGAATCGGACATTCGACACTCTTAAGTGTCACTTGAAAATACATCTACTGTTTCTTTAAAAAAATTTAAATTGTTTAAAAAAATATGGCATGAGAATGTTTTGAAAAGATAGAGTTCAGTCAAAACTAATTCTGTTCCGTTTTAAGTAAAATTACTTTTGTTTAAGAATCATCTAATTATGTTTAAATAAATAACCCCTGATTGGAGGTTTGTGGTTTAGAATTATTGGATTCCTGTGGCTGGCTGCTAGTAAGGGGACAATTTCAATAAATCCCACTGATCCATCAGAGCCCGGATCGTCCCTAATTAACGGGTGTATTAAGGCGTACTTTGTATTTCTCCGTACTCTAGTGTTTGGCCGCTAGATGTCTCCTAAGTATAGATGTCACTAAATTCACTACATTTTCACATACAGTGCAATAAAGTGCAATGACCACTTTTTAATTTAATTTTGATTTTTAGCAAGCTTCTATTTTGCCATGACAAATATAAATGTAAAAAAAGAAGCTGGTTAATTAGAGTAAATAATGTTCTTCTTTTAACATATTGGATTTTTCTAGTTCCTCTCAAGTTAAAAAGTTTAAGTGTTGAAAGTCAATGATAGCCCAGTCTAATTTATGGTAACAATATATCATGCCGGGAATATCTTTTATCTATTATTAATATATATTTAATATTATTTTTGAAATCATCAAACAAAATAATAATAAAAATAGTTTTTATCTTCTCATTTCTTCACGCACTCGCCTAGCCAGCTTGTTGTAGGGTGTACTAAAATAAAAAAGTAAGTGTGAAATACGTGCTTTTACGATTAATTTAAATTATTAAAGGCAGTGACCGGCTATGTAAGGTAGTTTAACTGAGTATGCCGTGTTGTGGAAAACTTCCTTCGGATTCATTTGAGACATGTTAAACTTTTTAAAATTAAAAAATTTAAAAAAAAACTAATTCTTAAAACGTATCCACCCCCAAAGTAGGAGTTTTAAACGTCGAATTTGCGCTCAAACTCAGGATTTAAAGATCTTTAAAAAGTTTAATATGTCTCAAATGAATTCGAAAGAATTATTCCACCACACTGCATACTGAGTTCAACATAGCCGGTCACTCCCTTTAAAGGAATTTCCAATTCACAATGGTCCCCTTAAAAGCTTAGTCTGGTAAAAAATGTATGAGATTTTCATAATTTTCTCTTTGAAAGTTGATTCTTTTCAACTATGATTTCTCTATTAAATAACTTGCGGATGCTACAGAAACATTGAGGGAAAATGTCAAAAATTATCCGCTTCAAGGTATAATAAACTATCTTCTACAATATTTATCAGATAAAAGGTAGCATTGTGAATCGGACATGCAGTTCTATGACATGAAGCGTTACATTGAATTATAATGCTCGAGTTATTTTAAGATCGCATCTTACCCAAACACATTTTCATCTTGAAGCGTTGAAACAATAACATCAATGATATTCATGTCAACGCTGTACTGCAAACAACGCTCGGAAAACATCTTAAAGACCGCAGCTAACCGTTTACTAATCAATAAATCATCAGGATTTATATTTTCAAATAAGGAAGTCCAGATAGCAGTTCCTAGAGGGAGGTTTAAGAGTAAAATTAACAGGAATTATTAGAGCTTAACTCTTTCAAAAATAACAAAATGAGAGCGAAAATTTAAAAAAGAGCTCCACTATCCAATTTAAAATGTAAAAAAACTAACAGACTTTAACCCAACTAGCTGTGGCGATCCGCTGGTATTCGAAGTAAATATTAAGTAATAAGTAATTAGTAAATTATTTTGTTGCATGATTGATATTTTGATTGATTGATTGATTAATTGATAAATAGGAACTTACTGATTGATATTTTGCATGATTAATTAAAATGTTAATTAATTGATTACGTATATGATATTTAGGTTAAACAATAGGTATTTTTTTCTCGATTGATTTGTGATATTTTGATTGGTTGATTGATTGATTGTTCCTTGTTTCTGGAAATGTTCTCTCTATAGTATCAATTTCTCCAGCTCTTATGCAGACTTCATCTCTGTTCCTTGATTTGTTTAATATTTTATTTATATTAATTAAATATTTATTATTATTAAATTAATTATTTTACCACCTTTTGACCAGTATTACCGACCCATGATTCCCCCAACAGAGGGACGTTAAGTTATTTTACGTCCCTTGGAACAATTTGAAAAATAACAACCAGCTTTGCGAAGTTTGAATAACAAATTGCGCATTTTTATTTTTATCTCAAAAGACGATGTTTAGAGACAACATCGTACACTGTTCAATGCAAATTGTAAGTGTATACTGTACCGTGTACGTTGTAATTGTACAATTTACATTGTACTTGTACACTTATTTAATTTAATATTTGTTCTATCTATGTTTTGTTAATTCATTTTAGAGCTAGTTACTAATTGGTTATGTCATCTGAAGATTATTTTACTTCGTCAAAAAATAATATATTGAACATTAGAAAAATAAATTAAGAATTTCTTGAAAACATTTTTGTTTCCCAATGTTACTTACGGAAAATCATGTCCAAGTCCTTCTGCAAACCTCTCCCAGTCCCGGCCAGGAACCCGGTCAAACTCACGAGCAAGGACTTCAACCACATGCACAGGAACATCCTTACAAAAAGGAAGTAAAACAGGATTGTACACTGTACGGCTTCATAAAAACATAATAAAATTACCTGTTGGGAAAAATTATTTATTTTGAGACTAAAAGTTGGAGTACATTTTTTTCATTTTTCCCTAAACTATTTGCTTTAAATTCTTTTATATAATATCTTCAAAACTTAATCCAAAAATTGGGTATTATGTTTCTATGTTCCCAACAAAATACAAGTATTAACCACCATGGTTACCCCCCTCCCACTAGAGTCCATAGGAAAGAACAATTTTTAATTGAAAACAATATTTGCTTTTGTGTTCTATAGTCTCAAAAGGGAAAATTGATATTTCTAAGAGGGGTGGGGGGAAGGAAAGGACTGTCCCCATAAATTCTATATCTGGGATTAATATATATACCTGTGAGTACTGTAGCTGTGTCTGAAGAAAGGTGGATTTTAACTGCTTTTCAAGTTTATTCAATTCATCCAACAGAGCAGCACTAAAAATATACATTTTACTTGATTCATTCTAAATTGTTTAAATTTAATAATCTTGGTGTAGGATTAAATTGTGAAAGGAGTAAGAATCCTGATACCTGAAAGGAGTAAGAATCCTGATACGTTAAAGGAGTAAGGATCTTGATACCTGAATGGAGTAAGAATCCTGATACCTGAAAGGAGTAAGAATCATGATACCTAAAAGGAATAAGAATCCTAATACCTGAAAGGAGTAAGAATCCTGATACCTGAAAGGAATAAGAATCCTAATACCTGAAAGGAGTAAGAATCCTAATACCTAAAAGGAATAAGAATCCTGATACCTGAAAGAAGTAAGAATCCTGATACCTAAAAGGAAGAAGAATCCTGATACCTGAAAGGAGTAAGAATCATGATACCTAAAAGGAGTAAGAATCATGATACCTAAAAGGAATAAGAATCCTAATACCTGAAAGGGGTAAGAATCCTGACACCTAAAAGGAGTAAGAATCCTGATACCTAAAAGGAATAAGAATCCTAATACCTGAAAGGAGTAAGAATCCTGATACCTGAAAGGAATAAGAATCCTAATACCTGAAAGGAGTAAGAATCCTAATACCTAAAAGGAATAAGAATCCTAATACCTGAAAAAAGTAAGAATCCTGATACCTAAAAGGAATAAGAATCCTGATACCTGAAAGGAGTAAGAATCCTGATACCTAAAAGGAAAAAGAATCCTGATACCTGAAAAGCGTAAGACTCTTAATACCTTAGAGGAGTAAAAATCCTGATATCTCAAAGGAGTAAAAACTAAGAATACTGATACCTGAAAGAATATCCTAAAAGCTGAAAGGAGTAAGAATCCTGATACCTGAAAGGAGTAAAGGTTCCTGATGTCTGAAAGGAGTAAGGATCTTGATACCTAAAAGGAGTAAGAATCATGATACCTAAAAGGAATAAGAATCCTAATACCTGAAAGGAGTAAGAATCCTGATACCTGAAAGGAGTAAGGAACTTGATACCTGAAAGGAGTAAGAATCCTGATACCTGAAAGGAGTAAGGATCTTGATACCTGAAAGGAGTAAGAATCCTGATACCTGAAAGGAATAAGAATCCAGATACCTGAAAGGAGTAAGGAATTCGAGGATGATCCGAAGGGGGTGGAGGATACCACGCTCAGGGAAGATTGAGAGCTGTTTTTCCAGTTCCTGAATATATTTTATATCCCTAGTGAACACATTATTTACTCAAAATATTAAATTTATTTTCCAAATTACTTTTGGCCAATTTCTTAAATGTTCTACCATAGGTAGAACCATAGTCATTAGTCACACTATTATTATGCTTTACAAGAGCAGTGTAGATAGATAGATACAACCTATAGTTGTACCTATGGTAACATGAATAAGAAATTGGCCATTTGTAAAATAATTAATAAAAATAAGCAACTACAGATTTATATTATATTTATTTAAATAGGAAACAGTCAGTAGAATATAACAATATGCAGTTCACATAGTAACCAGAGTTCGATCAAAATAAACACTTTTGTCCAATTATTTATTAATTTGTTAAAATCATTCATAAGATCTTTAAAACTTAAATCAAAAATACATATAAAAGATTTTTTAACCTATTGTTTTTTTTAAGGAAATTGATGGGTTGATTGAATCCAAAACAGATTGAGCATTTATTAAAAATAACAATTGATAGCATTTTGAGATGTTCCTCCGATAGCAGAACAATCTAATATTTTAGTTTTGGATAAATTCAATTCAATTTAAATTATATATTTCTAAAAAACAACATGTTTAACAATTGTTGTTTAAGCAGGAGAGCTCAATAGCTCGAAGCTTCTAGAAAAAAGTTTACTAAACCTGAACGAGTTCTTCTAACGTTAGAATTTTATCAATTCTTCTTCGCCCTTTAAGCTCTGGAAACCTTAAAAAATCGAATATTAAAAGCTGTGAAACAATTGTCATTTATAAACCATTGTAAATAAACGTTGATCGTGGAATTTTTTCAACAATTTGGGAAAAAATTCGATTTTTTAAAAATCGCATTTTCTTAGACTGTTATTTAGTTCTCTAAAAATAAAAATCAGCCAATTTGGTCCAGTCATTTTCCCCGCTTTAAATATATATATATGAGCGAAAAGCTTTATTATATACTAGATTATCCCTCGAGCTTGTCTTAGGAAGAAATTAAAAATGTTTCAGGGAAAAAATCATCAAAACCTTAAAGAAGTAAAAGTTTCTCCAAAGCTTATTAAGATGATAAAAAATAAAAACAAAAGCATGATTTAAAAAAATAACCTGCTTTTAACCTGTACTACTTGAAGGTTTCTTGGATGCACAGAGAACAACATTTCTTTAAACTAAAAAAAAGAATAAAAACACATTTAATTAATTAAGCATGAAATTATTAAAATCAGGGTCGTATCTGCCCCTCCCCCCCCTGGTAAGACCAAGGTTAGTAAAGGTGAAATAATTGTTGAAAAAATTGAAAAAATCGTGGAAGTTTTACCATTGGCTTCTATAAACAAAAAATATGTAACTTTCTTTATCTTTTTTTCAGAATTGGGGAAAATATTCCCACAACTTCTATGTTTGGAGGTTTTAAACTATTTTCTCCTGAAACACTTTATTTTGTATGTTTTTGTTATACTTCATAAATAGCTAATTATTTACTGACTTACTTACTATTGATAAANAAGGTAATGTTAACAGCCAAAACCCTCCTGAAGGGAAAATGGTTAAATCCCTCATAAGATTAACTTTCCCCCCACCCAATCAGATAAGGTATACAGTATCTGTACACCATGATGCAATCTTCATTTGCCATACAGGGTTACCCACAAATAATGAGACTTCAGAGACTGAGACGACAATAAAGAATTTTTACTTGCTGTTTTCTACTGTTTATGCCTCCCTGCAGCAATTGAATTATTTGTTTCTTTGAATAATGATTTAAATAAAAAAATTGACCTGTTTGTATTTTGTCTGGCTTTCAATAGTTTCTGGTGTCAGAGAAATCATTTTCCTAAAAAATAGAAGAAAACAAAATTAGATTGATTTGCATCTTCTAGGTCATTATAAAGTTGCAGTCTTAAATCATGTATTACGAAAAATTTATTATAATTATAAAATAGTTGGGCCAAAATTAATATAAAAAATTTAAAAATCGCAATTGATAAATAAATTAAACATTTGAATATGAATCACTTTTTAAACTTTGCCCTAGGTATTTGACTACATATATATACTGACATTTTTTCAGAGTAAAGAAAAACTTGAAATTTTTCTGCATGAAAAAAAGAACGTCAAAAAAGCAAAAAAATTAAACCTGAGCTACATTTTTATATTACATAATACTAGGCTTTTGGAGCGCTTCGCGCCCATCTTCTATTTAATTTAATTAAACATGTTCTCTTTGAATACATTGTAAAACAAAAAGACAAAAAATTTGCGGATTTTATATAAAAATTTTGTGGTTTAAATTTTTTGTTTAATCGAGGTCTCACAAAAAATTTGGGCTCGATCGATTCAGCGTTTTGGCGTTTATTGGCTACAAACAAACAGACACCCACCAATGCAAAGTTATCAGGACCATTTGTATCCAGATAACCTGCCACTAAATACGAATAAAGAAAGTATGAAATTTTTAAAACCTGTTTTTGAATGATTTACAAATTAATAAATAAATTTTGGTTTTTAGGCAAAAAATGTCCTGATAACACTTGCAACATAAGTACACCCAGCTAGAAGAACGGGCTCTGTTGCCTTAAAGCCAGGTAAGTTAATGCCGACCGCCGAGTATAGGCCGAAGCCTGTTGAGTCAGAGTGTTGACTACAGACTAATCCATTTCCATAGTACACTACATATCTGAGGTTATTGTGAACATTCTAGAGACTGCGTATACTAAATGTCGTCTTTTCAAGTGTCAATTTGTAAATATCAAAACAGCTGATTTCAAAACATAAACATTTCATTTTCTACATGAATAAAAGTACATGATCAAATTTCTAATCTGTCTCGGTTTTAAAGAAATTTAGAATTAAAGTGTAACATTCTCGGTAATTCCCTATAGAACGATTGTTGAAAACGAATGAAGGCAATTTCTTTTTTTGCCTCGACCCTTTAAAAATGGCAATCTCGGAAATGTAAGGATATCCTTAATATTTTTTTCTTGGACATATATATAAAGTAGGTGAGGTTTAAGGATAGGACAATTTCTGGGCCGAGCGCTGTGGCTAGGACAGGCTAGGGGCCGAGCGCCGCGGCCAGGGCAGACCTTTAATTTCAACAATATTTTAGGTTAGGTTAGGTTAATACACTTTCTGGGCCTAGCGCTGCGGCTAGGGATGGAGCGCAGCGGCTAGGATAGGGTAGGCGCCGGGCGCTGCGGCCACAACACCAACTATATCCATGTTCGTCTTTCTTCAACTACCTAAAAATCGATAAAACATGATGTACATAAAGATTTAGGGAGTGGGGGGGGGTCCAAAAATCGTTTTCTAGGAAATTGAACCGTCGTCGCGTTGATTTGATTTGTTTTTATAAATTTATGATATTTTTAGATTAAACATGGTTGAAGTCTTGGGCTGTGGAACATTTTCAGTTCCCTCTCAGATGCCCATTGAAATCGATGTCTACAGGTTTTACTTATCCTTAAGACTTTAGCATATATGTATTTGTCTTAAAATATCACCCCACCTCCCCCGGCCACCATCCGCAATAAACTTGCAAAATACATGTTTGCCTCTAATCTGTGAAAATTATCAACAACAATTTGTTGATAATATGCTAAGAAAGGGTCCTGCTATCATTATTCGGGAAATTCAAGTTTTTGGCAAATTATGGTTCATTTTTTGTTTCAATTTTTCAAGGGATTTTTTTGTGTAGTGTCCAAGATGAGCTCAATAATTCTGAAAGTTTTGGGTCATTCTAAATCCTACGGGACACTTCAGACAGCTCAATTTTTTAAAAAGAAAAGTTGAAAAATAAATATTTTTAAAGATCTACGTTCATTTCAGTGATCCACACTCTCGGATGAAGGAGTTAGTGAACTCCGTTGTGGAAAATATTCAACAAGAAATACTAAATTTGAATTCTAAGGTTAGTTAAATCATACAAGGTCCCCATGTGCATTGGAATGAAAGTAGAAGGGTATGTATTTTTGGGGGTAAAAAATGACCTCTTCTTCCAAAATAATTTTTCCTATTAATTTGGGTAAAACACGTTATGGGGAAAATTATTCTACAGGGAAAGTCAATGAATTTTTGTGAAAAAAGTATCATAAAAGAGGTATTGTTTAGTTTTTCATTTCCCCAAAAAAGTAACTCCCCGGTGATTCTTCAATATATATCCCTGAAAACCATAATAAAATTATTAATCGAATGGCACAAGGAAATTTTTTTAACTACCGTCTTCCACGGATCCATCCAGCAAGTTGAAACTCGATTTGTCCAATGTCTATTTAAAGGTTCTTACCTCTAAATGATTTGAAGGAGAGAGATGAGATCTTGCAGAGCGTCTACCTGACAATGTGGGAGCTGAAGACCCATGAGATTATTGAGAACATGTACATTATGAACAAGCTCAGGGACAGGCTGGATACCCTCAAGGTAATGTTTGAGAACATGTACATCATGACCAAGCTCAGGGACAGGCTGGACACCCTCAAAGTAATGTTAGAGAGCATGTTCATTATGAACAAGCTCAGGGAAAGGCTGGATACCCTCAAGGTAATGTTTGAGAACATTTACATTATGAATAAGCTCAGGGACAGGCTGGATACCTTCAAGGTAATGTTTGAGAACATGTACATCATGAACAAGCTCAGGGATAGGCTGGATACCCTCAAGGTAATGTTTGAGAACATGTACATCATGAGCAAGCTCAGGGACAGGCTGGATACCCTCAAGGTAATGTTTGAAAGCATGTACATCATGAAAAAGCTCAGGGACAGGCTGGATACCCTCAAGGTAATGTTGGAGAACATGTACATCATGAACAAGCTCAGGGACATGCTGGATACCCTCAAGGTAATGTTTGATAACATGTACATCATAAATAAGCTCAGGGACAGGCTGGATACCCTCAAGGTAATGTTTGAGAGCATGTACATCATGAACAAGGTCAGGGACAGGCTGGATACCCTCAAGGTAATGTTTGAGAACATGTACATCATAAATAAGCTCAGGAACAGGCTGGATACCCTCAAGGTAATGTTTGAGAACATGTACATGTTCAGGATATAGCATTCAAACAGCTATGCTAGCTATATCCTTTTGCTATACTAAATAGAAGAAAATATTATTTGTAACAATATTGTACATTTACATATACATGTTTTTTTTATTTTATTTTCTGACAATTCTGTAAATTTAAAAGATATTTAGCAATAAACGTTATTATTATTATTATTATTATTATTACATCATGAACAAGCTCAGGGATAGGCTGGATACCATCAAGGTAATGTTTGAGAACATGTACATCATAAATAAGCTCAGGGACAGGCTGGATACCCTCAAGGTATTGTTTGAGAACATGTACATCATGAACAAGCTCAGGGACAGGCTGGATACTCTCAAGGTAATGTTTGAGAGCATGTACACCATGAACAAGCTCAGGGACAGGCTGGATACCCACCCTCAAGGTAATGTTTGAGAGCATGTACATTATGTACAAGCTCAGGAACAGGCTGGATACCCTCAAGGTAATGTTTGAGAACATGTACATCATGAGCTAGCTCAGGGACAAGCTACGGTAATGTTTGATAACATGTACATCATGAACAAGCTTAGGGACAGGCTGGATACCCTCAAGGTAACGAGTATAAAAAAGATTATCAGAGAGAAAAAATAAAATTGGGGAGTTTAAATTGCCGTTTTTTAATTAATTTGATTTAATGATTTAATGATCTAGCTTACGGAGAAAAAATTTCTTTAAAAATATTAACATATTTTCGGCCTGCATCTATTTAGAGGGTCATTTGAATTTACTGCAGCAGTCCCTCTAAATTTGAAAAAAAAAATCATAATTTATAAGATGTTAACACAGTTTAGTCTTGATCTAATATGCTGTATAAACGTGTTGCATCGTTTAGTTTGGTCTCCACTCCAGGGCCTACTTTAAAGGGGGGGGGGGGGGGGTGCAAACTGCAATCAAAACTTCAAGAGGGGGAAAGGTTGTAATTTTTTGAAAAGTTAGTTTAAATCAAAAGTTTAAACATAAAACAAGGAAAAACTATTAAAAAGTTGGTTTCATCTAACCAATAAACTAAAATTTTTGCTCCAACTTTTTAGCAAATTAATGGAGAAACTGCAAAAGTTTTGGTTCGTAAATTTTAGTAATCTAATAAAAATCATCAGACAAACTACTTTCTTATTTTAACTATACACTTCTATATACTAGATTGTGTACAGGTGTACAACAAGGTTATATATACTGTACACCTCTATATATCAAATTATGTACAAGTGTACACCAAGGATGTGTATACTATACTGTACACCTTATATACTAGATTATGTACAGGTGTACAACAAGGTTGTGTATACTGTACACCTCTATATATTAGATTATGTAAAAGTGTACACCAAGGTTGTGTATACTATACTGTACACCTTTATATACTAGTTTATGTACAGGTGTACAACAAGGTTGTGTATACTGTACACCTCTATATATTTGATTATGTACAAGTGTACACTAAGGTTGTGTATAATATACTGTACATCTTTATACACTAGATTATGTACAGGTGTACAACAAGGTTGTGTATACTGTACACCTCTATATATTAAATTATGTACAAGTGTACACCAAGTTTGTGTATACTATACTGTACACCTTTATATACTAGATTATGTATAGGTGTACAACAAGGTCGTCTGCAACTGTCATGAAGATTCTTCTCTACTGAATATAATAGAGTTAGTAGAATATCTTCATTCATCTGTAGACTCCAGTTCTACACACTACTACTGGCAGCGTCTACAGGTCAGTGCAATCAATCTATTATTCAATTAATCAATTAATCGATCAATCAATCAATCAGTCAATCAAACAATTAATCAATCAATCAATCAATCAATGTAAATTGCAATGCTATAATCAATCAATTAATCAGCCACTCAATTAATCCATTAATCAATAAATCCATTAATAATCAATTAATCAATTAATCCATTAATCAATCAATCCATCACTCAATCACTTAATTCATCTATCAATTAATCAATTAATCCATTGATCAATCAATCCATCACTTAATTCATTTATCAATTAATTAATCTTTTAGTCAATTAATCAATCAATCAAGTAATTAATCCATCGTAAGCCATCAACTAATCCATCAATCAATTAATCCATCAATCAATTAATCCATCAATCAATTAATCCATCAATCAATTAATCCATTAAAACATCAATCAATTAATCCATTAAAACATCAATCAATTGATCCATCAATCAATTGAACCATCAATTAATTGATCCATCAATCAATTGATCCATCAATCAATTGATCCATCAATCAATTGATCCATCAATCAATTGATCCATCAATCAATTGATCCATCAATTAATTGATCCATCATTCAATTGATCCATCAATCAATTGATCCATCAATTAATAGATCCATCATGTAATAAATCCATTAATCAATCAGTGAATTAATTTATTAATTAATAAATCGGAATCCATAAATCAATTAACTAAAAATTAATAGATTAAATAAGTCAGCATGCAAAAACTGTGTTTCAACAAGAGTGAAATAGCCTTGCTTCTCCTGTCCTAGTTTATTAGACTTTGGAAGACTTCAAAATTTACAAATTTCTGAAATTTATTTAAAAAATAGTTAGTTTATTTTTACTCTGGGGGCGCATGTTGATTAGGGTGTCTCAAAAAAATCTAATTTTTAAGTTTTATAACCACTCAATAAATTCTGGTGCTACCAGATTTTTTTTGTTGATCACATCTGATGAAGTCTTGGTCCTAAAGATATTTACGAGGTTGGGTGATTTTCCTTCTCCATATTTAATATTTAAATAAATAATTGTTCGACATTTGGCATTATTTTTGAGCAAGAAATATATCTCAAGGAATTTGATAAGTGCTAATCAAAATTTTGAAAAAATTGCTGTTCTTTAAGACATCCTAATGTTGATAGTAGTAATATTTTTTTAAACACCCTTTTAATTATTAATGATGATATAGAGTGCTGTGTATGAGTTTATGGATGAGTTCCTCCCCCACATGGAGGAGGAGGAGAACACCTTCCAACCTTTACTCTGTAAATATTTCAACTTTGAGGAGCTCAAGCTTATCAAGGTAGTCATGTGCTTTCAATTTGGGTCATTTTTCGGTCTTTTTTTGCCTATATTTCTTTCTAAATTTGTTATTCTAAACATTTTCCTTTCTTTAAGTTTTTCAAATTTTGAGCCTGGTAAAAAACAATCCAAAACTATCAAACAACGAGTATTAACTATATAGATGTAAACTCCATGGTTCCCACAGTAGCGCTACAGAAAAGTAGTTTAATTGGCGGTAGGCAGTTCAGCGACATTTTATGAGCAAACTATCCTTGATCAGAATCTGGTAGGGTTATCCAAAGAGAGCGGATTAAGCAGAAATTAAATGGGTTTTGAGTGGATATTTGGATTGAGTGATCCGTATCAAGGGTATCCAATTTTAAAATTTTCAGTTCAGGTTGCAAAAGATATAGGGATTATAAAAATGAGGTTTGTGGCAAGTAATCGGTTCTTTGTTTACGTTCCTGACATCATTATTACTAAGGAGACTGTTCTGGAACAGCACAGGTTGTGGAAGAATAAAGTAGAACAGGAGAAGAATCTTAACTTTTTCAAGGTTGGAAAATTTTCTTATAATTAAAGGGACAGTTTATGTAAATGTGATTGTTATTCAAAGAGTTACATGCCCGATGACTGATTCACAGTGGCACCTTTGGAATTTTCGTCAAAGCAAATATATGGAGATTTTCTTGTTTTTCTGTCCAAAAATTTATTATATTCATTTGCGGTTATATGCAGCAGCATTGAAAATATAAGAAATGTACAGAATTTGAGTCTATTTAAGATCAAGAAAAAGGGGTACCCTAAAACCCCGTTAAAAGTCCCATTCATAAATATAAGCATAATACTTAATACATAATAATAACATAATATACTTAATATACTTAATATACATAATATTGTTTACACAAATTCGAAATATAAGGAAGACGATTTTACCGACTCAAATGCCGTAGCCTTTTCTCAAGACGTGTTTATCCATTTCCTCCATGTAGCACCCACATGTCAAACACCGCTCATCCGTTTCCCGCCTCACCCCTCTATAACACATCCCAGCTCAGTCAGGTTAGGAAAGTTGAGCTAGTAACAGCTCCGACACAGGGAGCCTCTTGACTCCTTTATGATGATGACGCAGATCCTCAACTAGGAGCAGACAGGCTTACCCGAGGGTTCTCAGTTTATCATGCATTCCACTTCCAGAGACAACATAATCGCTCAAATCCAGCATGATAAAGCCGCGATCTCTGCCTACTAGGTTGGATAAGCCCTGTTGTTTCAGTTCCTGTTGATCTGCTCCACCAAAATGAAGCTCTACATCACTCCCATGAAGTGCCCACAAATATTCATCATTAATTCCTTTGTTAATTTCTAAATCAACCAATTTTAACTCCGCCTTAAATGCAAATATTTCAAAACTCTCGTTTTTAAATAAATGTTAGAAATATCCATTTTAGATCTCTTTATTTTACTATAGTGACTTTTAAAGTCAACAAATATACTTAATATACATAATATACTTAGTACATAATACTTAATGTGATTTCAGTCCAAATAAGAAAAATGTTGTACACCATTTTGTTCTGTATGTTGAGATGTAAGTATCTGGTATATGTTTTAACGTTTATCAGATTATCGATAAAGAAGAAAAAGAAGGATTATTTTCTTTCTTCTCTCAACATCTGCAGTGCTCTATTATTTACTGCGGGAAACGTGTTCAAGCATTTTATTTTACCAAGGGAATGAATTTATTCTGATTGACCACATTATACTCCTAGCTACCTCATTATCTTACTAGTGACCACATTACTCCTAGCTACCTCATTATCTTACAAGTGACCACATTATACTCCTAGTAACCACTTTATATCCCTAGTTAGTAGTTACCTCAATATCTTCCCAGAGGTGACCACATTAAACCCCTAGTTACCACATAATACCCCTAGTTACCACATTCCATCACTATTGACCACATTATAGCCCTAGTTAACATATTCTATCCCTAGCTTCCAAATTATGTTCCTAGTGACCACATTATAACCCTAGCTACCCCAGTTTCTTCCTAGTGACCCCATTATATCCCTAGTGAACCATATTATAACCCTAGTTACCACATTTTATCCCTAGTGACCATATTATACCCTAGTTACCACATTATATATCTAGTGACCACAGTAAACCCTTAGTTATCTTATTATGTTCCTAGTTACCACATTATATCCCTAGTTACCACATTATATCCCTAGCTACCACATTATATTCCTATAGTTACCACAGTGCACCCTTAGTTGTCTTATTATCTTTATAAATGGAGGCTCACTTGTAATCTAAAATTGTAAATCTATCTAGGAGAATTTACAGGAGAATGAAAGAGAAGCGAAAAGATCAACATCTTATTGTGACAAGCTCAGGAATAAAACTTAATATTTTACAATTTTTAAAGACAAATTTTGTTTTGTATTTTTGAAGACGGGAATGTAGACATATTTTCCGTATTGCGCATAAAATCTTCTTCAGAATAAGTTCTTGAAAAACATGTTTGTCTAATTGAATTTTTGCACGTCTAGTCTAGACTATAGTCTATCTTATACAGGGTGTCCCACTAAACATGACAGTAGGTAGACGTATGCAAAGTTGCCTTTTATCTTTGAAATAATTCGCGGCATTTATTCGAAGATCTAATTTTAGAAGTAAAATTCTAGAGTTATTGATCACAAAATACTCCAAGTCTTTGCATTTCCAAAATGTGGTCTGCCTTTTTTGTGCGTTAAATATTACCGGAGATATAAAGAATTTCGTTCAGATTTCGACAGTTTTGGTTTATTTATTAAAAGAAAAATTTGAACGAAATTCTTAATATATATTGACAGCACAAAAAAGGCATACCACATTTTGGAAATTCCAAGACTTTGGGTATTTTGTGTTATTTTGTGTTTATTTTATAGTTTCAAGAATCAAACATATGAAATTAGGTTTACATGAGAAATTAGTTAAACGAGTGAATGTCACAAATAAATTCCAAGTTCTAAGACGACTTTCTAGTCTTCTTGCACTGAAATGTTTTGTTGAAAATATAGATTTCATTTAGAGTGCACTTAAAGGATGGGAGGATATTAAATTGTAAAAAATATATTTTGAGATGTTTTCAGTAAAAGAATTATAATGTAATAATAGAGTATACTTTCAGGGGCCGAGAATCTTAAAATTGTATTGTTGTATTTTTTATATAGTTGTATCCTGAAAATCGATCGTTTTACCTTTAAGATCGAACAATAAATTATTACAGCCCTAAAATCACATAGGTATCCCGAAATCAATTGTACCATCCCGAAATCAATTGTACCAACCCGAAATCAATTGTACCATCCCGAAATCAATTGTACCAACCCGAAATTAAAATTTGCATCCTAAAACTCATGGCTCGGCTCAAAAATCAAGTTGGCGGCCTGAAAATCAAATTTGTTCACCCAGAAAATCAATAACGTTTTTTTACGTCCCAAGAATCAAATTTTGGTTCTGAAAAAAACTTTATTGTATAACAAAATAATATTTGTTTAAACAGAGAGCTAGAGCAGAATTTAAATACTGATGGAGAATCTATAGAACCACTAGTCAAACTTCAGGTAAAAAAGAGAGCTAGAGCAGAATTTAAGGTCACTTGAATTTACGTTCACAGAACCTTAATTTCTCATTTGTAACTTGAGCGTAAAACATTTAAAAATTTCCTGAGATTGGTTTAATTTACGATTTCAACCTTTTTCTCACATTACGTTGAAGCTCTTTTTATAATGTTTCCAAGAAACCTTTGTATTTTACTTCTACTGTTAGTTACTTATTATCCGTAGATTAATCTGTAGACATTTTTGTCAAAATTATTATTTGTTTTTGTAAACTTTTTTTTTTTAATTCCAGGCTGAAACAGAAACTCCATCTCCGGTTTATTTTATTCCTGGTGAAATTTTGATGAAGATTCTACAGTTTCTTAGTCCTAGAGATCTACTAGCTGCTGGAGCAACTTGCAGGTGTTCACTCTAGATACAAATTGGTAGATTTTTCAGTCAAAATTGGCAGATTTGTCCAATATTTTTAGTTGGCCTGAATTAACCTGCTATGGGTATCATAATTCAAAATATACCCCCCCCCCCCAGAAAATGTTGAATTTGTGAATAAATTTTTGGTTTAATAATTTGATTAATTAATAATAAGATGTTATGATATATATCTGATTAGGAGATGGTATGCTATATCTATGATTAGAAGATGGTATGATATATTTCTGATTAGGAGATGGTATGATGATATATCAATGATTAGGAGATGGTATGATATATCTCTGATTAGGAGATTGTATGATATATCTCTGATTAGGAGATGGTATGATATATCTCTAACCCCCCGGATGTGGAAGATATTGCCCCTAAGTTCCTGGGAGCAGGGTGAGTTGACCTGGAGAGATGAATCTCCTGACCTCGACCTCGTGGAGCGGAGGACGGATCTAATGGAGGTCAATTTTTTAAAGGACTGTAAGCGTAATTTCAAGTGGCCCTTCATGCAAAGAGAGCAATGCCCGATTTACAACGTTATCCTTAAACCCTTTGCGTGCGGCAATGTCCAGTGTTCGCTACGTACAACCATTTAGAACTCAACACACTGAAAATTGCAGCTGGATACAAGTGGGTTTCAATAAGTTTACACACACATATCTTTGTACTATCTTTATTCACATATAGGGGTACTGTTGTAAATCGGGCATTACCCTCTTTAAATTGACATGTGAACAGAAAGAAACTGAAATCTTGCCTCAAACTCTAATTTAGTAATCTCTTAATATTTAAGACCTGAGATACTTCAAGAGCTTCCAGAAATTGAGCTATTTATGACAATCCACATGGACATTGTTTTCTTTAATAATAATAAAAATTAAATCTGATCGATCAGAGGCCGAATTTAAAGAATTTAAACCGCGTTAATGAACCACGAAAAAACGATTCCAATTGAGCAACGGCTCAATTCTCGAAACACTTAATACAATTTCAAGTGGTACTAACCATGTTTGAGTCGTGTCTCAAATTTGAGTCGCGTCTCAAATTCTTTAAATTCGGCCTCAGATAGTTAAAGTTTGAAATATCAAAGGTTTACATTATAAGGATAAAAATATAGGGATTAGAAATACTTCTGGCTATTGCTTTTAGTAAGTTTAAGGCTTTGAATTTATTTTGAAAAACAAATTTTTTCATGTTTTTTCAGGTTAATGAGGATGAGATTGAGTTGGATTTCTTCTCTGCCTTCTCAAGGTAAACATTTTTTTCCNTCCAGCAGATCCTACAGGTACATCAAGTCTAGAGATCGTTTTTCTCAACTAACGATATTTTTCGTGAACGTTTGTTTCTTTGAGAAAAAATTACGAACGATAAACGAAAGATTTGGATCATTTAGAGAAATGAAAAGCATTTTATGAATCAGTTCAGTTAAAGAACGAACGAAATAAGATGGAAAATCCACGAAAATTCTTAAAACGAATTCAAGTTTTTTCTATAAGACTGAAAAAAAAAACTGTTAACGAACGAACGAATTGAAAAAAACTGTTTCAGGCACTCAGAACAATGTAAAAAAAACGTTTAGTCTATTCAATATTTTTTTTATTTCACTAAACTACTTCACTCAAAGCGACGAACGTCTTAACAATTGTCTCATTACTAAAACATCAGAAAGAAAAAATGGCACCATCAGATTTTGAATACAATTCCAAACATTCCCTTTATTACAGATCTTTAAATGCAACGATTTCGTCTGTTTGATTTCTGAGTTTAATTGGATTAATTACAATACAGTTATAACCAGAAAAATATGGAATAGGAAGACGACATTAAAGCAATCTTTAAAGTTATTAGATGTCGTTACAAAGAAAAAAGTTTTACTATGTAGTAACTCATTAAATAACGTATTAAGTTAAATGGGTCTGTAAACACTTCACAATGCTTTGTTTCATGTTTATTGGACTATTTAAACTCATAACTTCAGTCTAAAAGCCGCCATCCTATTCCAGAGTTTTATGATTCTTACTGTACCTTTATATTTTTTACATCTTAAACAATATTTCATTGTTTTGCAGAGATCTTAAAACGTGATGTGGGAAATATTCGTCCTCCGTTCAAAATATTGTTCTGAATATTGTATTGAATGAATTTATAATTAAAATGTTATCTCGAAATACTTCACGTGTCAAGCAGGTTTAAGATCAGATGAACAGAAAAATATAAAATACAGGGATCGCCCTAAAAAAGTGTGGAATAGGAAGACGGCTGTTAGACTCAAGTTATGATTTTAAATAGTTTAATAAACATGAAACATAGCAATCCCATTTCACATAGTAGGTTGATTTTCAATCTACTTGTAAAACTATTTGCTTTATTAGAACGTCAAACGTACTTAGATTGCAGAAATGTCATCTTCCCAATTTTCAGTTTTGTTGGTCTAACTGTAATAATATTTTCACAATCGCAAACAGAGCAAAAGGGTTAAATTTCTTTTGTTCATTGTTTTTCTCTTTTAGAAGTTAGTACACATGAAGTGCCCGGCATTGTTGTCATAATGTATAATAGAATATTTATTACTTTATTGTAATATCAATTACTTGTCTGATTGGGTAAATTGATGGGAAGAGAGTTAGTTTTGTCCAGGGACAAAAATATAATTCTGATCATATAATATTCGATTATTCTATTCATTTTTTAATCAGCCAATATACAGACAGGGTTACCCACAAAGGATGAGACTTCAGTGACGATTGTACGGAATTTGTTAAGTCCGTTTTCTTGCAGTCAGGGTTCCTTGTAGGCCAAAACCATTAACATACTCATCTGAATGCAGACACCAAAACTCGAACTTCAAGTTGTCATATTTTCTAGAGTTTTGGGTCGTCTTCACAGTCTCATCCTTTGTAGGTAACCTTATACATGATCCGTTGGTGAATCTTTCCACCTACGCATAGAGATGGGCACGTTGGCCTTTTTTCATCTCGTTCGTTCATCGTTCGTTAACGATCCATTGTTCGTTTTTTTTTCAATCGTTCAAAATAAATTGATTTCGTCTGTTCGTAAAATATTTTCTGTCTTGAAATACTGATCAGGCTGTTTGGTAGATTTAAATGTATGCTGTTTGTGGGGACTATAACAATTAAAATTTGTTTCATTCTGACAATTTCTCCAGTGTTTCTACCGCAGAAATACGCAAGACCTTTTTGTAGGGAAACCACAATTGAAAACCAGTAAAAAAATGGGATATGAATATAATTCATACTTTATCAGGAAAAGTTTTTAAGAATTACGTTGTGATATAAACATGTGAATTGAGAAACGACTTGAATTTCGTCTTTGATTTTTGATAGATGATAAATGACATAAAGTGCATCAAAAAAAGGTTGAACGTTTAACTAGCTTTCTAAATGGGGGGTCTTCCTTTTTTTATCTTAAAAATTGACGGAGATATAAAATTTTTGAACATTATTGTTGATTTTTAATTAACTGGAATCTGGACAAGTTTCCCAATATTGGAACTCCTGAGGGTACTAGTTTTCGGTGTTATATGTTTTAACTGTGATACTACAAATCTACATTTGCAAAATAAACCCCCTTGGAACAAAGTCGTCATTTAGTTCCCATGTTTATTGGGACACCCTGTATTTAAAGAGAGTCACGTACTTGAAGTAACGTCTATACAGTCCCTTTAAATTAGGTTTGTGTTAACTTGGAAGATCTAGATGTATCGTACACCAGGATTACAGACGCAGGGTTAAAGGTGAAGAAATATAAATATATATATTGATTCTTTTTTATAAAGAAATTCAGTTTTTGCCACAAACTCTGATTTCCTAAGCCTTATATCTTTGTAACCAGTGTTTCGGATCCGTATCATTTTGATGCGGATCCGGATCCGCGGATCCGCATCCGTGATGATGGATCCGGATCCTGACTTTGATACGGATCCGGATCCGACCAAATGATACGGATCCATCCGGATCCGGATCCGAAACGCTGTTTGTAACCCAATATCATAAACCTTAGATATTTCAAAAAATTATTTCTGTTAGATCAAATAGCAATCTTTGGTTTACACCATCAGGTTAGAAAGATTATAGGGATTTAAAAATTTAAGTTTGTTGCAAAGACTCAATTCCTTTGTTTAGCCAACCAATTTTATTCTTTCATTTATCATAATGGCATCACAAAATAAAAACAGTTCTTCTGTGCAATGTACAAGTTCGGAATTTAAATGATTTCTTTATGTTTTGTAATTTCTTTATTATGAACACTTTGCTTCTTTTCCCCTTTTTTTTAATTTTCTTTTTTCTAAGAAGTTTAAATTGTCTTTTTACTGTCTTTAGTCTCAATTAATAATATTTAATTTTTTACAAGGAAAACAATGGTTTTCATGAATACTATAAAAGTATTGAATTTGAATATTTATCCCATAATCAGGGTGAAGCACTAATCATAAATCATGACAAGTAATTGAAAATACTGGTTTTCATGAATACTATAAAAGAATTGAATTTGAATATTTATCCCATAATCAGGGTGAACCATTAATCATAAATCTTGACAATTAATTGTAAGATTTTAAAATTATCTTTGATCTTTGATGGCTATTTAATCAAAATGGCAATGTTTGTATATTTTATGATTTTTGTTTTAAGAATATTTCCTTTAAAATAAGATGTACTTTCCCAAGCAGTATTTTTCCAAGGGTATTTTCCAAAATTCCCAAATGTGCAATTTCCCAAGCGGCAACTACCAAAGTCTGTCCTAACCACAGTGCTCGGCTCCTTGCCTATTCTAGCCGCAGCGTTCGGACCCCTAGTCCATTCTAATGTACGGAGGTTGGCGATTACATCAATACAATGAAGAAAACTTTTTTTGATTGTTCACAAGCATTTTTCGTATCACAGGTTTACATTTAAACAAATAGAAGCTATTGGTTCACCGCTTCTCTTTGTTTAAATGTTTATGTGTATCCATGTTGTTTAAAAGCTTGATAGTGATCAAAATGTGAAGTTGTTTACATTGTATTGCTATATGCGACGACGACTGTATTTTAAATGATTGCGACATATGTCTCTTTATCAATCACAAAATTTTAATGTTTTTTGGCCACCCTGTTTATTTGTTGTTCTTTGTGGTTAAATATATTCAATATTTCTATTGCCGGAAAATTTAATATTTGTCTGAGATGAAAACTTAACAGTATTTAAATAGGGTGTGTCTGAACTAATGCTTATCGTCCTGAATGCTGCAGGGTGTCCAGGAATAACTGATTCAACATTGAAAATGTTATCCAAAAGTCAAGGTACTTTTTTCTTAAAACGTCATTTTTTTATTGGTAAAAATGGAGACTTTGATGGTTTAAAAATGCTTGCGGTTTGAAAACATTTTAAATTTTTGAGATAAACAAATATTTCAAAGAACTGTTTTCTTTTTAACTCTAAATGATAAATATTGCTTAGTTTTATTATGTTGATGTTTCAAGAAAGCAGTAAATAATTTAGATGAAAAGAAAAAAAGCTATTTAAATTAAAAAGCTCTTAAAAAAAGCTATTTGAAGGACATATATAGTTTATTATTTATCCTGCTCTTTGTTTCGTAGAGGCTTTATTAATTATGCAAACCATACTCTTAGAACATCAATAATAAAGACGGTAATATCTAGCCATTAGTCTCCGCTAGATATAGGGTTTCCTTCTAAGGATGAGACTGTAAAGACGACCTGAAACTCTCAAAATATTTCGATTTCTTTGTTGAATTACATCTTCTGCCTCGAATATAGTCTTGATAATGGCTTATATATTGATTTGACAAAGAACGACACATAAACAGTTGCAGAGAATCATGATTATAGGAAACAGACTGTGAAATATCCGTACACTCGTCTCTGAAGTCTCATCCTTTGTGGGTAACTCTGTATCATTCACATTTAGACATGGACACTAGTCAGTAGTCAGGGTCTTTTAAAGGAAATATAGTTCTCAACAATTAGGGTCTATTAAATGCAGGGAATTCAATATTTCACATGTACAACCTAATTATAGGATCGTTTTTTAATATTTATCGTCTATATTGCTGATAGGTTTTTTCTATTCTGAACTCCGTCGCGCGGAATTGCCCGGAATAGTACGAAACTGTGCGCAACTGCGTGGAATTGCGCGCAAGTAAAATTCACTTGCGTTGGAATCCCTAATTGCTGAACATAAGATATTGTTGGGGGAAATCTTCAATCTTGTCTTGTTAAACTTCTTTTTTTACACAGAATATATTTAACTAGAACTTACAGACTTGATTTTCTTAATTTTGATTTTCGCGTTAATCATATTTATCCTTTTTCTCGTGCCTCTCGTTGCTTTTCTTTTCAAGCCCTTGTTTTTAATTGATGTTTGGTGCCGTAAAGAAGTCTTAGCATATTCAACCCGTTCGTTTCGGTCAGTTGGAACAACTCTTCAGGTATCTGTTTGTTCTTAGCTAAGAGCTAAATGTTCCGTTCAGTTAACGTTACTCGTTCTTTTGTAGACTTAACGATCAATAGTTTAGAAATCTTTAATGATTAGGTTTACTCTCTGTTGAAAGTATCCGGATGTAGCCGGATACCGTATATAGGTTTACTCTCTGTATATATCAGGTTGCCTGGAGGTGTTGAATGTATCCGGATGTAGCCGGATACCGGATATAGGTTTACTCTCTGTATGTATCAGGTTGCCTGGAGGTGTTGAATGTATCCGGATGTAGCCGGATACCGGATATAGGTTTACTCTCTGTATGTATCAGGTTGCCTGGAGGTGTTCGGATAACGGATATAGGTTTACTCTCTGTATATATCAGGTTGCCTGGAGGTGTTGAATGTATCCGGATGTAGCCGGATAACGGATATAGGTTTACTCTCTTTATATATCAGGTTGCCTGAAGGTGTTGAATGTATCCGTATGTAGCCGGATACCGGATATAGGTTTACTCTCTGTATATATCAGGTTGCCGGGAGGTGTTGAATGTATCCGGATACCGGATATAGGTTTACTCTCTGTATATATCAGGTTGCCTGAAGGTGTTGAATGTATCCGGATGGAGCCGGATACCGGATATAGGTTTACTCTCTTTATATATAAGGTTGCCTGAAGGTGTTGAATGTATCCGGATGTAGCCAGATACCGGATATAGGTTTACTCTCTGTATATATATTAGGTTGCCTGGAGGTGTTGAATGTATCCGGATAACGGATATAGGTTTACTCTCTGTATATATCAGGTTGCCTGGAGGTGTTGAATGTATCCGGATGTAGCCGGATAACGGATATAGGTTTACTCTCCCTCTACTCTATCCAGGATTATCTCAAATCTGCAGATTTCAGCGGATGTCCAAGGTTTGTAATTAAAGGGATTGTCCAAGTAATTCTAATCGATCCTGAAGATTAAATGCTTGATTAAAGGGACTGTAACTTGTAAGCGTAATTTTAAGTTACCCTCCATGCTAATATGTTAATACCCAATTTAAAGAACTACCCTTGAAGGCGCTATCTGATATTAGATATCTATCTGATCTAGAATTAGATATCTATCTGATCTAGAATTAGATATCTATCTGATCTAGAATTAGATATCTATCTGATCTAGAATTAGATATCTATGCTTATTTTTTAAAAGCTGATTCTATATTAATTGTGGTTTCACTACAAAGGTGGAATGCACATGTCTACTGCAGGAAAAATTTTTGAATTATTGAAATAAAATCTTTAAAACCTCGAAAAACGACAATATTTTTCACATCATTGATCAGATGAAGATTTCAAGGGTACGTTTAAAATCGGACATTGCCATTTTTAATTTATTTGCTTACAGTCCCTTTAACGATATAATATAACTTGTTCTTAATTTTGGTCATTTGTTTGCCTGATTGTGCCGTAGAAATCAAGTATTTTTCCCTAGAAAAATTTTACCAAAAATATCGGTCTCATCATGTGACCTTCAAAGTTAAGTGAACCATACTCTTAAAGTTATCCTAGCTTCATGGGACTGTAGGTTCAAGTGACCTCATGTTTGATTCACAACGATACCCTTTAAACCTTTGTCTGATTAAAAATTAAAAACCTATTGTACCTTTTATATTTATTGCATTCTGACGATTTCGATCATTGTTTCTGTTGCACAAGACAATAACGCTAATGACTTATAAAGAGAAGAACCAATTGAAAATATTCCATTTTCAAATAGAAAAAACAATAATATCTCATTCGATTCTATAAATAAAGTATCACTTAAAATTATATCTTTTAAGAGAAAAATGACGAAGCAAAATGGAATGTTTTGAAGAAAAATTATAGGTTTGTTCAGATGTTCTGTTTTTTATTTATTGATTTGATTAAGGTTGTCTGGTGTTGTTCTGAAAGCTTTCATCAACTCCTGTTCATCTCTGCAACCAGACAAGCTATACTACTGCGACCTTATCCAGGTCCAATTTCAAAATAACAAAAAGTCAAGAAAAAAAATTGGATTTATTTTTATTATTAAATTTGCCAACAAATGTTTTAAGCAATTCTGGAAATGAAGCGAACATATAGAACCAAGAAAACTCCGGAATATGAAGACGACATTAGAGCAGTATTCAAGTGTATTTGGCATGGTTACAACGCAAAAAGTTTTACAAAGTATTAACTTATTGAATCTCTTATCCATGTTCCATAATATTTATATTATGTCTAAAAGTCGTTTTCCAGAGTATAACTATCTAGTTTTGTATTTATTCCATTATATATTCCGTTATATTTATAGCAAAAGTTTTTTTTTTTGCAAAACTTGTTGTGTATCTGGATCTAATTATTAGCCACTGATATGGGGATTTCAAATTTTGTCATAGATATCTTTTTTTTTAAGTTTCCTTATTTCTAATCGAATTGGACCATTATTGAACCAGAAATCGGAACTTTTGTGTGGAGTTTCGTTAAACTCGATGTCGATATCCAATGTGGTCAATTTTAAATTTGAAGTTCAAAGCTTCCTTCAATTTAGTTATCCCTTAGAGGTATGACCACCACGGGATATTGAAAAGGAATTAGCGTAATCCTTTATCTGCACTAGATGGAAAATATGTCAAACAAATAGTTTGAGAATCTATAAAATTAACTATACATACTTTTCCATATTTTCATTTTAGTTATTCCTCCCCTGAATTTTCTGCAAACCATGCTAACAAATACCAAGCGGGATATCGAATAAAGATGAAATTAATCTGCAGATTAAGAAAAGATCCACAATATATGATTCTTTTTTTTCGATTAAAATGAAGCAATTCAAAATAAAAACCTATGGTTTCAGAAGGTTTTATTCTTTCTTTTGAGATTTAATTTTACTACTAACACCCATTTGATCCTAACCCTGTCAAGTTGATCCTAAAATATATCTAATATCTGTTCCCTGTCTGATAGTATTCCTTTCTCCCATTAAAGGAGCTGTTCCTTTTCTGACATTATTGCTTTCTCCCATTAAAGGGACTGTTCCCTGTCTGACAGTATTCCTTTCTCCCATTAAAGGAGCAGTTTCTTTTCTGACATTATTACTTTTTTCCATTAAAGGGACTGTTCCCTGTCTGACAGTATTCCTTTCTTGTATATCATCATTTTGCTTTGTAGAAAATGATGCATTCTGTCATTGTCCTTCCTTTTATCTGTTGCAAAAACTGCAAGTTATTCTTAACGAACCAGCAATTGGAAATTATATTTTTTTAGGAAAAAACTCAATCATTATTTCTCCGGCAAAGATTTAAATGGTCCCTTTATCCTATAGGGCCTAAATTTCAGCTACTAAAATAACTATTGAATATATTGATAGGTTAAGGTGTTTCATGGAAAAAGAATAATGCTCCAAACTTAAATAGAGTTTTTGATTCAGTTTATCTATATATATACTTTGCTAGTAATCTATATTGTAATCCTGTCTACTCTCTTGTTGATTCAGTTTATCTATATATATATACTTTGCTAGTAATCTATATTGTAATCCTGTCGACTCTCTTGTTGATTCAGTTTATCTATATATATACT